ATGGTTTGTCTGCAATAGGTTCCGGCCATACGTAAAATACGTATTACTTGTAATTACATAAAGTGGTAACAAGTCAAGACGAATTTCGTAACCCACACTCGAGTGGTGATAACGTACTTGGTTTACAGCTACGGCTAGTACTCTACGCATTCACTGCGACTGTAATTAAGCTTTGGCTCCTGGGCATATTAAGGCTTACATCGCCTTTGGTCTGCATTGGGTTCTATCGAATATCTTAGCCTGCGCTCAATTGTTTGCTCTTCTGTCCTGAAATAACTAATAATAAAATTTCATTAGGAGAACTACCAATTCATTCATACGGGCGATGTTAAAAACACGATAGAGCCATTCGAAAACCAAAATAGCTTTGATTGAGAAGTACGTAAAGGATTTAGAGTAGTTGTCTGATCACAGTGACTAAAGGCGCCAATGAAAATATAGTCCAGTCAGCTTTATATAGTCTATTGTTTATTATGTTGGTGTAATAATATATATTGCTAACATATACAACAGAGAAAGCTCTTTTGTAACGTTTGATGCTATCCATCTGGAAGGCCCATTAGCGCAAAAAAATTCTCTTTTAATTAATTTATTGAACCCAGCAGACACCTTGAAGAGTTGTTTTACCGCTTTTTTTGGCCGAAAAGAGGACCAATCCGTTATATTGTCTTTTTTTTTGTCGCATTGTTGGAGCTTACTGATCAATGAAACGAAAAAAAATTTGCAAAGGACTTAGCAAAAAAGAAAATCATTTGGGCCGTGGAACGTATTAACGGTTTAAGCGGCCAAAACAATTTTAACAAAGCGATTCTTGACTAGTTATAATAATACATCCATCGGATGCTGGAGTTAAGTAACGAGGATAGATTGAGCGAGCAGCGAATGAGACTGGTGGCCAGAAAGAACCCGATACCTAGTTGGCGGAACAAACTTGACCCTAAAGGATAGTGGCGAGAGATTGTTTCGAAAAACGATCCCTATAGAGGAATCCATAACGGGATAGATAAAGACCCTTCGACGTCTACCTATTATTCCTAACCACCACTTCGGCATCTAGCGATCTCCTATGAACGAAAAGGAAATTGGCGCAAGCTGCGCCTATTCCGAAGCGTCTCACGAACACGGTCCCATCTTCGCCACAGCGTACGTCACAATCTTCTTTTCTACCCCGTTTCATAAGATAATGACAAAACCACCCTTCTAAGCGCCTTTCGCACATGCATTGTTATTGGGTCTGTGTTTTAGCAACGGAGGAGGACGGCAAAGGCAAGAAATGCTAGCCAGATGTCGGCCGTAATATAAAAATTCACCATATTGACTCTACTACAGTGACTCCTATCTTGGCTACCGCCACAGTGTCAAGTGCGGTACTGCTGCTGCGCCTTGTGGCGCATAAACGAAGATTGCGACAACTGAGACAGGGGCAAGTTGATGCTGCTTCTGGTGCCGATGGATGCGTAGTTTGATCCAAGGTCGCAGTTCGGTACACGGAACAATCGGGCGAACAAAGCAGGCGACCCATGGTCATGCATTTGCTTTCATAAGTGGGCACTCGTAACGTCATGAGTCGTAGAGTTGTCGCAGGGGTGGTTAGATGACTGTAGTTAGCCTATTCTGTTTGCTGACCAACGGCGCTGGATGTCAACCTCCCAATGCTCTATATGAAGAAAACGGTAGGCATAGGTGGCTTTGCCCTTTTACCACTCTCATCACTTGTTCCTGAGACTCTCATATAAAGTAAGCACACAGTACCAGATAGCTTTTGTACGAACGTACGAAAACGATACGGGATGGAATAAGTTCCCTCTTGCTCTCTAATACCCCGCGTAGCCTCTTTTCGCCTTCATTCTGCCACTCCTCATCTATGTCTCTACGGCGGTCGGCATCGTCCACGTCTTTTTATGGATATAACTGGCGATCTCCTCGATGACAATGGCGAAATATATATAGAACGGCTTATATATGCAATGGCTTAGAAGACAACAAAGGTTATAGTCCTAGCATATATCGCAAGAAACCTAGTTAGTATTATATATACTAGCCACAAAGCTTCTGTCTATAGATATATGTTGTTAGGGTTAAGCAAATTGGTCTTTTTCCGTTTCAAAGATCCCCACGTTGTGCAAGGGATCCTTCAGTTAATAACGAAGAGCCAAAGAAGTGTCTATGCGATATTGATCGGTTACTCCTTGAACAGAATATTGTTACATTGCGTACTAAGCGTACTACCAAATTCGCACGCTGTGGTGTTGACACCGTATGTTATTTTCTGTTGTGTCCAGAGAACAAAAACAAAAACAAATAATAGGTCGGTCTGCGAACAAGGGACAGATAAACGAATGGCGGTAAAAACAGTCGTATCCAGGTTGGTGTTCAATCTTCGTCGACTTGATGCATTTCCAAATTACGGGCTGGCAGCTGTGGTAATCAACGTTGGAAACAGTCGAAGCTATTTGCGTCGTTTCGAGTCGAGTGAGTCGTGTCGGCTTTAATATCATAGCCTATTCTGGCCTGAGCAATTCAACCTAAGTAAAGTTAAGTTGAGTCATAACCCCCCTGGATATGTCCCATAGACGGTACGTGGGTGTACGTCCTTTTCTTCTCTCTCTCCACAGACAAACAAACAGTCGGAGAATTGCCCCCTAACATGCGGCCTTAGAGATTTTGTAGAATATTTACCTCCATCGCCCCAAACCGATATCCCATCGGACCCAGGATAAGGCAACGTCATCTTTCTTGCGTTGTACGGCGCCCGTCGATGTAGGTCTAGCCGTTGAAAGGTTTATGCTCCCCAGCCACCATCAGTGTAACGATTTCAGACTCGAGTGATTTATCCTCTTAGGCAAAACGCGCTCCTTGTCCTATTTCATGCCGTTTTTTCCTGACCTTGAGCTTGTCCTTCGGCCACAACTATCGTTGATTTGATTGCGGGGACTCCTTCTCAGGTTTGCACACTTAGCAAAGTGGTTTCACATAGAGGCATAAGTGTTGCGCCATGGATATCGTCTCGGAACTTGGTCGTTTAAAATACTAAGTTGTGGTAAAACTCAGAGCTGCTGATATCGCGTCATAGCATCGTGGACGCCCGATAGTTGTGTCAACAACAACAAATTTCACGTCACTTTTTTAAGCTACTGCTTCTATATATATATATAATCCGGGTAACTTAATTGGGATCCTTCCGCTCCTCATAACGTTTGATGGATCAGGTTATCTAATTCGGCTTCATTCATTTCTCTAGTTCCACTTCGTTCATCTTGCTTTTGATTATACAACTGACGACTTTAACGGTACTACCACTGTATGACTCTTTTACTCACGTAGGAATCTGTTGTTGAGCTAGCTTGCTTTTGCGTGAAGCAAAAAAAAAGGACGCGGACGAACATACATTATGATTTAGAAGGCACGAAAAAAAAAGATAGACTGAGAGCGCCAAAAGAAGATATGGACCAAAAGAGGAGAGAACAGAGTGTTATTATGGGACCCCGTAAAGTGCGTGAATAATCTGCGCTAGCTGGCAACGAGTCAAGTCGACTGCGGCGAGCGTGCCGCTAGCTGTTAAATCGAACGGAGTTTAGAAAGACACCCCCTACAACGCCAAAGGATGAACGGAGTGAGCAAAAGGGGCTTTGATATGTTGGGTCTTAAAAGGGAACAGAGACAGAACTAGAAACGAAGCAACGGTAGCAGTAAAAGCAAAGCTACGAAAGGCCGACGACGTATGTTTTCGACCTGAGCGAAAGTTTCTAGCCTTTTCTACCTCTGCTTCTCTTTCTTTTTGTTTCGTGGTGTTTGGGCTTTGTTCTATGGGTGCTGTTAGACCTGCTGCTATATCTTTTCGACCTGCTTCTCTTTTCTTATTGTGGGCTCATATCGGCCAGGGCCATATCCTGCCTCTTGTGCTCGCTAGCCTCTGCTGTCCTGATGTTGTTGTGGCTTTGGTCGAGATTCAGAAGCCCTCTCGCTCTTTTCTTCTCCATACAATTTTCCCATCTTTTCCTACTATCGAATACCTAAAGCTCTGCAGTATTTCAACGTCAACCGAGACAGTCTTAATCCAGACTCATTTGCGTCGCCCCTCATTCGTTTTTCCCGGTCGTTCTACGACTTATAGAAAGTAAGCGAAGTCCGGTCCGCCGCCACCGCAAGGCCGTACTTCGCACCCGTCGAGGCCCGCCGCGCCTGCGTTAGAATCGCCGTTGAAAATCGCGTCGTCAAGCAACGAAGCAGCGGCCTTCGCTCAGTTTGACAGTCCAGGCACAGTTCGGCTTGACATTGCCGGTTAAACGGAGGACGCTACTAGTGAAATTTGATCGAAATTGGATTAGCCTTTGATGTCGTTCCGTAGTAGTTGAAGAGACTTATCCCTCTACCCATCAGATTTGCCCCAAGCTGTTTTCATCTGGAAGTGCTTGTTGCACACCAACACAAGCGGACGCCACGGGGCAATGCTTCTCCTCAAAAAGATTTAGGCAGAAGCAGGGCGCGCTTTGCAGTCCAAAGGATAAGTGACGTCATAACTGGTAAACGGAATAAAGTGCGCAAGATGGAAAGGTAATGGACTCGGAAAGAGAGCTAATTGAACAATCACTGACTAAGTGAATTTTATGTATTAACTAAAGATTGATACAAAAAGCTGTAAAATGGCCTGTTTAGTGAGTCGAGGATAACAGGATTCACCGTATTCCATTATCCTCGACAACTGTCCTTCAAGTTATCAGAAGTCGGCTGAAAGATAAGTTAACGGGAAGTAAATATTTATCGACAAAGCAGTTTAGTTAGGAAATCGACTAACATGGATAGGAATTCTAGATGTTGTTTTGCCACGCTGATAGTACATACAACAGTAGGAGAACTATACAATTTCTACATGTTGATTTCTGATGAAACATCTGCAGTTATACGACCCCTAAAAGTCCTCAGTCTGCAATCTGAAGTCGTAGTTGAAAAGAACTTTGTACAAATATTCTAACCGATGATCTTCATTTCTCTATTTTCAGAATAAAAAGCTGGGCAGTGCGTTTTGCTAAAGACCTAAAAGTCGCAAATGAAGTAGCATCGAATTACAGCGCAATTAAAACTGTAAGTATTAATCATTAGGAGGGTCTGTGGTATTATTTCTATATAGTATTACGAGTTGGGTTAGCTTGCTTTCAGGCGTGGCCAATTGCCAATGCCAACAATGGAGGTCCTTTTACATTTGACGGCCATAGGATCTAGTGCGTCATAATTGCAGACGATGCATGAGATTGATCGCCTGCGATATTGCTTGACCAAACGCATGATGCAGACCGTCATCTATCTCCAATGTTTTCCAAGGGCATTTCCTTTTCGTAATTCTAGCTACTTGGCGTCCCTCGTACTTGTCGCCGCTGCATAGATCCAAATTGATTGCATCCATTGCGCGCTTGGTGCTGACGGATAAAGTTCTTGTATGCGAGAACAACTTCAATCGTGCACAAACAGTACGGCGGTACAATAGCGATAATTTCAAATCGTAAATTCGATAAATGGTATATAACGTTAGGAGATATAATACGCAGACTCAAGACTACTTGAAGTAAAATTGCAGTCTACTCGTTCTTGAGTCATCAAAATGAAGCGCCTTCAACTGGAAGTCATCACGCACCGTCGATTTTATATGACCAAGTTTCACCAAAAAGCTTCAGTAGGACTTCTCATTAAGGAAATAAACGTAGATAAAGGTTTTCCTTTAAGCAACGGCGTAAAGATATTTTTTTGAGAATATAATGATACGTACGAGATATAATTTCCACCACCGCCTTCTCACACTAACGCGAACAACGAAAGACATCGGGCTTCCGCGTTTTACGAACGCATGCTTAACTAAAATCTCCCTTCTAACAATCCGTTAATCCTGTCAGTCGATATCCGCGCAGGCAATCTTACTCTCGCTACGATTCAGTTATCAGGCTACTCAAGTTAGCTAAGTAAGCTGGTCGTATTGCCGCTGGATAATTGCTGGGTCAACCTGTATTTACCAACGCCCTGTCTCGTGTAGAGGCTGCTCTATTCAGCGTTCTTATGTCAGCAGCCGGGGCAAAGCGGCACTTCTACTGCAAGCAGCAGCGATCGCAGCTCACCTAATGCAAACTATGCATCATGTGTGCAACTACGTACTAGCTGTTGATGTTTTCATGGATGTAGCAGTATTCCAATAAGTAATTGATAGGTGGGACTCTTCTCCACAGGGACTCCCTTATCACAGTAACATATAGCGCTCGACTTGTTGGTACGGCAATCCGAAATAAAAGCTAGAGATCCTGGCTCGTTCCGATGCGAAAACATGCATCGTATTAGAGGAGGGCAATGATTACCATGAATAGTCTTCGGCGAAAACCAGGGAAAGCCCTACTTAGTTGACCCTCACTCGTGACATCCTCTTGTAAGATTCTGAGTGGCACCACCATCGAAAGCGTGCAAAGCAATGAAACATCGTTTGCAGAGCGAGTCAGAAACAATTATTTGTGGGGTCTTCTACCTTTCACTGTGTAAAACAGAACTACCGACTCTGCTCGTGGCAATACTAAATCTCAGCGACGATCAGCGATGCTAACTGTATGGCATGGTCGGTGTCACTACCAATCGTGGCTGCGGCAACGACAGAGCAACTTATCATAAATCCCGCTAGTACGATGGCTGGTGCTCGCTTGACATGTTAAGACTCTCAGGGGAAGCTTAGCTTGAAAAATGTATATGCACGTCGTCCGTGCGTGTGTGACTTCTTTCGTACTATGGCATTGCTATCCCGAAGGACCAATGTGGTTAGCTGTCGTCGTCGTCATGGCTCCTCTCAGCAATAGTTTGTCTTTACGTTGCTAGCTGAGGCATCCGTCGCCTTGAGGAGCTAACAAAAAACATTATATGTGGCCTGTTTAAATTTCCAACGGCGCAAAGCATATTGTGAATGTCGATCGCTTTTTGTTTGGTAAACAATTTATACGCAAGAGCTATGGTGATTCAAGTAAATAGATACTTGAAGTTCTTACGCGCGGTACTGTCACTAAACATTTCAGAGGGCGGGACCCTCGACACGAAACGAAGTTTGTCTACACCCAGTTTCGTACTTACGCGCCTCGCGCGTCCGTAAGTATAGAGGCTACAGCTATCCCATGAATGAGATATATCTGACTGTTGGTTTTGTACCGAAAGTCATGTATATTTGGTAAAGCTATACGATTGTAGTGCTGCTTTGTTTCTAGGCGCCTCGAGGTCCGCTGAGAAAAGTAGAAAATGAGCATAATTATGCAGTACACAATCATCGTTCTGATACTGAAATTTTTTCGTAACAGGGTGGTCGTTATATGTGCGTTTCACTGTTACAGTCATTCAGTAACGAGCTGTTCAAGGTGTCGAATAAAGGGAACACCCTCTTCGAGGACATCACGCGGTCGCTAGCCAACCTCGTCCGCAAGAAACAAGAATCCGTGGAACATCTCTATCGTGAAACCGAAAAGCTCGTGGAGACCTCACGTTATGACAGCAGTCCGTTCGACCTAGTCAACGCCAAACGCCTTGTCCCCCGTCCCGAAAATGATAAATACCCTCATCCGGACGGCTGTACGGACGACTTTGGAGTGCTTCGTAAAGATGAGGAAGGTGAGTTGATTGACTGATTAGGCGTCATTAGAAATTTGGAATACGTTTGAAACATAGAGAGATACGTTAAATACGAGTAGAGGATAATATGTCGGCTCTTCCGTGTGTCAGTTTAATGATAACTGATGGATAATGAGCTTACAAGAGTTTGCAAGACTACAGGACAGTTTAGTGTCAATAAATCGTCGTTGGGCCATAAAGCCATATAATAGTTTACATGATCGGAAGATAAATATCTAATTAATTCTTTTCTCTAAGAAAGGCTCTGTTTTGCGCTCAGGCCGCAAAAGTACTGCACTAATGTCCGCATGAATTCTGTTGGTAAAGCATGTTGAGCCTTTTTGTGCGTATAATTGTATCACAGACATTAATTGGTAGTCGTGAAGTGAGGGGTACGTCTGTTACGCATGTAGATTTGTCCTACAATCGTGTTCTGTGATTAGCGAGAAGGTATGTCCCCCATAGTTGTCGAGGTCTTTATTAGCTCCGGATATGAATCGCATAGATTCTGTTTACTCCATCAACGAGTCATTGAACGCACGCCCTCTGTCCTATAATGCCCGACATTCGTTGTATCGTATATAATAGGAAAAGTTTTCGACATCGTACCATGATTACTCATTGAATTGCTTTCTGCGAGCTTTTATCACTAGTGATCAGTAGCAAGGAAATACTTCGATGCGAATCTCTCGCAGGTTGCTGATGACTGTTGAGTTGTTGGCACGTAAATATACGGCAGGACATCTATGTTATAAGTGTCACACGTGACGCGTTGCTGCTGGTTATACGACAAAAATTGTTTTTGACGTTAGGTACATGGTAAACATATATGCTATTAACAAACGAGAATCTCACAGCTATACAATACTTTTGGCATGTAGGCATTCCGCTTCTAGGGTGCGTGGAGAAGCGTCTCGATCTTAACTACTCGTCCTACTTTGAGCAGGAGGTCAGCTTCGACAAGAGTGCCATCCATGTCGCTACAAATATCTACACTAGAGGTATGGGTCTTGTCTCATTTCAGTTCCTTAGCTAAAAACAACGGACTATGCGTTATCGTTCACTAACCTCAGCCTACCAAAAATTTTTGCGGGAATACCAGCGACAATTGCCATAACTAAAAATAGTAGCAAAAATTTCAATCGACTAATGGCAAACGTCTACTGAGATTAAATAGGCGGTTGATGCGAATAGTGCAATTGAAAAGTATTATCAAGCGATAATTTGTTGTGCCCGATTCATAAACGATCTATAAAAATTCAACGAAAACAACTAGGGAATTTCAGCATAGGCCCTTCTTCAAATATTCTGGGCATTGAAACAGTAACTAGCTGGAATCGCTATACCTCAATCGTACCTGAGCCTTTACACTACCTACAAGCAAGTATACTACTACATAGCAATTACTTTACAAATATTAATTTTATTTCCATTCCTGAGATAAATAGGACAGATTAGAAATCGAGCTAAATAAACACAGTCACGGTTCTGCTGCATCAAAGTATCATCTATTACAAGCAATAGTTCAAAGTAATATGTTTTATTTCATATCGTGTCCATTTTATACCATTCTTCGCTTCGTTTCTATAGGAATTCTAGGTAACTAGTCGAGGTTGTAAATGACGTTCCTTTATACGGAATTAAGGAGAATCTTTATTTGCCCCTGCAGCTTGTCATTCAGCGTCGAAATTACACTTTCAGGGGATGCCCGCGTTCTCATGTAGCATACTTTTTAACGATGATTGTTTACAAAATTAGAGACAAGCACAAGAGAGACACGGGTACGCTCTGCGCTTCAGTCTTTGAATTATAATCATCTATATATCAAATAGAGCAAAGTTTCACAACAAATGGACTGCAAACCGCGTTTACTCTGTTCCCCTTCTAGCAGTAATTGTTGTTTCATACAAAAGTAAAACAAATTCCTGTAAAAGTTGGGCTAAAGGTAGGTGAACGGCAACAATTAATGTCTGTGTTGTTTCAAGACTTCTCCTTAAACCGGTCGAAAGACGCAGATTGGATCCGAATTAAAACGAGTTTGATTCCCTAAAGATCAGCCTTCATCACGTGCAAAGCACCATTCAGACATGGATTGTACAAAAGTGGAACGCGTTGTCCACTTTGCCTCCGTTCACTTTGACCCCGCGCTCCTTCACAACGACAACTACCGATGTGAAGTGTCTTTGTTAGGGCACGGGATTTTAGCGATGCAATTTAGACGAACTACAAAAAGGTAAGGCCGGTTGTCCTACGTCGAATCGGCTTAAATATCGGTCACCAAGGCGACCTTCTCAGCCAACTAATCAGCTGGGGACATTTTATGTGCTCTGCTTCTTGTTACGTAGGAAGCATGCTATTTATTTGAGAAATAATTCATTAGCGTTATCTCGATAGTGCTTGAAGTTGTTTGAAGTTGAAGGATACGGGAATTTACCCGAAGGACGCAAACAGACGCCATATATTTGCCTGAGTAAGCGACAGTTGCAATAATATCTCGCTGGAGCACGTTGATCATTTGAAATGAGCCGTTTTGCGAATCCTATTACCATTCGGTAGAGGATTTGAAGATGAACTCCGTTGCAAGGACTAATCAGTTTGCTCGTTCGATTTCCAATAATTTTTACCACGTAGCGTTGAATTGTGGAGAAATGTCAGACATTGAATGTAACAGGCCGTACCACCATTGCAAAACTCGAACACGCGCGCCAGTTGAAGCCTGCAGTTAGCTTCCGCACCTTTTTTGCCTGTCGTTTGCTTCACGCATAACTAAACGCAGAACGCATCTATGGCAGATTCATTCTCGTGTCTTGTCATGAACGAAACACGATACGAAATAAAACGCATAGCGACCTGAGGCTGAAAGATCGGAATACTTTTGTCTCTTCAACGAAGATAGTTACAGTGCACAAGGCGCGACCTCGAAGATATGCGCAGTGTCTTCAGGTGACACGATTGAATACACCACGTCGAGTTAGATGAGAAGAGATCTAGTCAGAAAAAAGGCATCAGCATGGAAAGGTCAACGGCGTCCTTTTATTCGAAGTGACAGAACACTGCGGAGCGCTGCCATAACCGCGGGATCGTTCGTGGCGACGTCGTCCTCCATTCTTATTCCATGTTCTCACTATGTGCCTGTTCTGAATTCGAACTTCATCTTTTTTAACTCTCCATGTCCAGAAAAGTGTTTTGTTGTCCTGCTTCAATAAAAGACATTTGTCTTTCTCTTCTTTTTGTGCTTTTTTTTCGTCCATCTAATGCATTAGTTGTTTATAAATAACAACAGTTTGAAAGGCGCCCTTTCATACTGCTCGCCCTTACCGTCTTGTTATCCTACGTCGGCAGCTCATGTTCCTCATTCGCCCTGTCTCTCTTTGACTCTCTCTGTCTTGGATACAGTGTTGTACCTAGTGCCTTAATGCCCTTAAAACACGCGTATCTTGTTGCATTGCCCTGCGTCAGATGAACACCTTTACTAAACCACAACAGGCGCATGACGAGCTGGGCTAGTAGCAGCTGCCATTGAAGAGGATGGTCTGGGTCCCCTCAGCTCGGTTTGGCCGCTGTCCGGAATTGTACGTCTTGCCCCTGGCGGCAGTGGCCGTGCCAAAAAAAGGATGTTATTGTGTCCTTGTTATTATTATGGTTGTTGCTGCTCTCGTAGTTGTTAAAGGCTGATAGCTATGAGGCTTTTTGCGACAAGACCAGTTGGCTATCGAGCGATATCTTCCATGCCTTTTCAATTCGTTTTTCTCTGCGTCTTTTTCTTCGTCTCGTTTGGTCTTCTCTACGTTGATGTCTTCGGGAACTCTCGCACGCACCCTCTAGAGAGCGGGGTCTTGAGCAAAGAATCGTCGATGCCGGCTGTAGCGGGAACGGTAACGATCGAACACGACGGTAACGAAATACAACTACGTTTCGCACTTTCCCTCCACATTTCGTAAACGCCCAACCCGTGCTGTTGTATTCTGAGGCTGGGTCATCGAGCTGCTATACAGCGTACGGCAGTACCGGTATGTCGCTCTGTCCAACAAGCATACCCGTATAAATACAGGGAACCTTTCTCACCATTTTCTCTTCATGCTTGTCGTGGCCGGCAGGCGGACGGGCAGTGAAAGCTTTTAGGGAGGAGCGGACCCCTCAAAGAGGATGCAGAAGGCACTCGGTGTCGGTGCGGGCTCTACAAACGGCTAGACTTTGTTCCCATTCTGGGCAAGCCATCAAGCTACTATAGTTTGCGCATATCTGAATTTACTCCCTCTTATCCCTCTTTTCCGCTCCTCTATTATTTTTTCTGTAACGCGTTTTACTTTTGTCAACGTGGATTGTCGTGTGACAACGACGGTCGGGAAAACCACTAAGAGAAAACCCCCACAATAAGAATAGCATTGTACAAGCGTTACGACAGACATTGGACGTTTTCAGAGGATAACGACAAAGACAAGAAAAACAAATAAAACAGACGAGACACCGCGTAACTAGGAAAGGACACAGACAAAGAGTATGTGTTCTGCTTCTCGTCTTTGTGCTGACAACAACTAGCCCGAGATACGCTAACAATTTGCATTGCAGTTAGAAGGAGAAAACCAAAAGAGTTCTATGCAAACATCAGGCCTGAACGCCTCCAGCCGCGTCAGCAAACGACTGCGGCGAACGCGTTGACGACAGGGACAGTGTTGCTGTTTATACTAAAATTCGTAGTGTTAGAGATATAGCGGCAAATGCTCTTTTTTACTGCGAATAGCAACAATATCATAAGAAAATAGAGGTGGGTTGAACCATCAGTACGCTGGCCGTGCGCGGTGGACGTACCGATGGCGTGAATCGTTGTTACATTTCTTAAACCTTCGTCTGCGCAAAGCATGGACCACAAGCAAAACAAGTTGTTGCACCGCATAACTTTTTGATATACTTATGAATAGCTGTGCCCCATAAGCGGCAATACTATAACGCCGTCTTGCTTGCCATGTACTTATATATATATGACGTAATATCCGTGGCGTGCAGCTTGTCTTATGTATACAAGTGTACACGTTGCTGGATAACGTAGCGCACAGAAGCTAAGAAGCGTCAACCTTATCAAATACATGAAAGTGCATATTCAATCACTTTAGACAGATTTGTTTGGTGGCGTAGGTTCAAAGGCGTCTGCATTCGTGGACAGACCGCACACGTGGTTTAATCGTAGATAATACTTCAGACTGACGGCTCTGTTAAAGGTTGTGTTCTAGACGATGGTTGGTACTTGCTAGACAAGCAGGCTGGAATAAACGGCTGTTTTTTAATATTTATTTTTGCTAACCTAGAAAAATAACGGCTGTCATTTCAATAGGTTTCGCGGTGGCTGTAACAACGGTCTGTCCTAAATTGGCGCCAATTTTCTATGCACTTTCTTCACATTACAGCTGAGCATGTCATGCACGCAATACGGATGTCATCAGAATTGGACAACCGCTTCCGGGCCAATAGAGGGTCCGACCCTTACCTTTCATTCCAGTTCTTTTGTAGTCATACCGGATTCCTTAGGCTGTATCCTGGTGAGTACCTAAGGAGTCGTCCTATCAATCTGTGTTAGTTAAGATTTCTATCCGAAGTTATGAGTTAAGTAATTGTTTAAAGACGTAAACGACTGATTTTTTCCGAACAGCGGTCCAATGGCCGGACATGGAGCCCGACATGTATGAATGCCGTAGTCGATCGTGGTACGTCCAGGCGGCGGCCTCGGCCAAGGATATTGTTATCCTGCTTGACGTCAGCGGCTCCATGACCGGACTGCGGAAAGAGATTGCCAGGAACGTCGTTATTAACATCCTCGAGACGCTAACGGACAACGACTTCGTCCAGGTGCTAACGGTTGGTATTCTTTTACAAATTTCCATCAGACCAAAGGCAGTGTTCAAAGTCGCTAGAACAATCAAATGACAGACAAAGGAACAATGACGACCGAAGAATCGCGTTGGCCTTTCGATGAGTAATGAAAATTGAATTCGTGTCTTCTGACTTTCAGTTTAAGAATGACTGTCTTCCTTTAGTACCGTGTTTTGACATGCCCGTGCAGGCCAACCAGCGCAATATTCGCGAGTTCAAAGAGTATCTCAATAAACTTGACACGCAGAACATAGCCAACTTCTCCTCCGCACTTACGGAAGCATTCGAATTGCTTCAAAGGGTAAATGTATATCAACTGTTTTATACTGACATCTTCACCTAAGGTCAATATCTGCATTACGCTGACAAGAAGATCAGGACAATGCCACTTGTCAAGTAGAGAGAAAGATAGAATACTGTAGTTATTCTTATTTATCTTTAACGTTAGAAATAAGTCAATAAAATTACCAGGGTTGTTTCAATGAAATAGCTGCTATCCATGCAACACCGAATTCAAATTTGATATGAGTCTCAAGGCTGAGTCACCGCATCGTTACGGTTAGAGTAGGCCTCAAGAGTGAATCCACGTATAATTAGTCTACATCCTAAGAAAAATCTTCGATGTTTCGCTCTTCGAATTATGAGGCGCCGATAAATAGCCAGCTTACGTTTTGCTTAAAACTAGCAAAACGTTACAGCGGCACTTGTGTTGTAAAGCTGAGCACGATACAACTTTTTAGTAGGTACAAGGTACGAAACTTCACTGTCACCGGTCAGCGAAATGATACCTATTGTTTCCAACTTAAACTGTAGTAGTTACTTGATCGCTTCTCACTTACGGTACGGCGTTACCTGTTAATGCCTGCATTCTCTATAGAAATGTTGCCATCTTTCTCATGCTGAACATGTAGGAAATTCACTGTCACCTCGTAGAGCACCGTCGCCCCACAAAAGTCGTCTTGCTCTTCTTGTGAGTATGCTATTTTACACATTCTACGAGTCTACCCCTGCCTAGCTCTTCTGGAATAGGTTAGAGTACGCCATTTCCTCATTAGCAAACCTTCGCCTATGTAGGATTGTTAAATATTGTTCAGGATGCGTAGATGTCCGCCAACCTTTATGGCTATTCTATGGATTGTTTGCTTAGCCCATTGGCTCATTTGCTTCTTCTCATTTAGTGTCCTTTTCGCATTAAGGCCAACGGAAGCTAATCCTTGTTGCGTTTGTGCTCTCGCAGCTGTTAGCCCCGCGACATAATGACTTCTCACTCGAAGGTCTTCCGGGCAAGCTCTCTCCAACTAAGGAACGAAAACGCTTTCCTACGGAACTATACGCCACGCCAAACGAACTCGGCGGCAATCCACCTGTTCGCTTGTCGGCTACTTGCTTATACGTAATTGTCTCATATACAAATTGTTCTATACTAGCGGCGATAGCAGTAGCCGATAACGGCTGCCAGCGCTGCTGTCTCTTGGGGCCCCCGCGACTGCCTTTTGCGGCGAAACAGAACAATCACAATGATAATGATGATTTTGATGGATTATTTTGATCAGTTAAAAGGAACGTCTAAGGCGACCAGCAGCGGCGGCGCAGCACTCGTTTTAGCAGGTGCAGACACTCCTTTTACTTCCTTCAACTTATATCTCTTTAAACGGTAGTAAAGGTAGAAACAAGGTCGAACAATCCGCACTGGCTTGCTAATAGAAAACCGCGAAAGCAGTAGGAATAAGACCATATGGAAGAGGAGTGAATGTTGTACTGTAGAAATAGGAAGTCACTAACTCACACCTATCAGCTTGCTTCTAAAAAGAGGGCCGCTCACAAGCCCAGCCTTACGTTAAGTGTAGCCATTGTAAGAAGTTGGAGGAGGATTACGCGTAGCAATGGACGGCGACTGCGCCAATGAAGGAGGTAACCACAGCAGAAAACGGCCCTGAATAGTTAGCTGCTTGTGCCAGCTGCAACAGCAGTAACAGCGATTGTGGTATTTGGTCGGTGCACGAAAAGGATCATGCGGGCAGTACTATGACTAGCACAGTATAATACCCCCAACTATTTCTGCTTCTAGTGCTATCAAAGTCAAAATGGATAATATATGTACTATGTATGCACGCACGAAGTCGTATTGGACCCTACTCGGACACTGTCGCTGTCGTCGTCGTTTCTGCGGCAGTTGAAGGCCCATGCACAGCATCATGTCAACGTGGCATTAAAGGCTTTTCCTCCTCTACCGTTGCCATCATTATCTTTGGGGCCGACCTCCCAGCCCATTGGCCAAATCGGTTAGACCGTATGTACCGCACCCGCTAGAGAAAGCAGATGCTAACTATATACTAACAAGACACTAGCCCCTGTGGGTCCACTTAGGCGAAAACAAACAGATACGAATTAAACGACAGGGGATAACAAAGATCGCGGAGTTAAAACAGACTCAGGACAAGTAACTGCGGCAGCAACAGGCATGGAATCCGGATGTACCAGCAACAGTAGCAAAATACACAGACAAAGGAATAGACTCATTAAGGTGCTGATTCAGTTGTTAGCCTATTGAAGAGAGGTCATTAATCGGACCACCGGCTTGCATACCTGCATAATATATCCTTCAACGGATTATTTCTGCGTCGGTATTGGATAAATTCGGCAAAAACAAAGAGATCAAGGGGTTGGGGTGCGAGGTCAATGGAACAGGTGCTTATGACTGCAACAGATAGCCGAACTATCACACTTTCTCAGCCCGTTTATAGCTAATAGTTGCAATTGTGTGGTCAAACTGTACTTGACCCAAATGGTTATTTCGTACTTCGAATAACCATGATCATTCTGTACCGTTTCTTACTCGACAGCCAAAAGGGGTCAATTATCGTGTTTCGATGGAGTTATATTTAATTCGTTCGATAATAAAATCATATTAGGATATATCAATGGACTGAGAAAAGTTTGTGAGCCAAAGTAAAAAAAAGTCTATGTTCCCCTTGATTTAGGTATATAGTTGGTGTAAACTAAACAAAAATTTAGTACGAAACAGGTAGAGTCAATTTGTAGTAATGAACGTACATTATTTAAACAAAACTACTATATTACCATTGATTAGTAATATATATGGAGGTATAAATGTACCCTCTCAATATTTATAATGTCTGCTTGTACCATTCTTTGAGTGCAGTTCAATAGGTCAAAAGGCGGATCGCAGTGTAATCAAGCGATCATGCTCATAACCGATGGCGCCCCCAGCAACTACCAGGACATCTTCTTCCGCTATAACTATCCGAACATACCCGTGCGAGTCTTCACATACCTTATCGGGAGGGAGGTCACCGATACTAGAGAGGTCAACTGGATGGCATGCAGTAATAGAGGTACGTACCAATAATCGAGTATTGGAAGATCACAATGTTTGCCGAATGGAACTATATGTAATTAATGAGACGAACAGCTCAAAGTTACAATCGATTCAATTTTACCTATTTACCTTTGCGACTGGTAGTCAAGAGCTGTTCACGAAGTTTCAGTAAACAGAGGACAACAACACGATATCCGAGTATCAGAGAGGGTATACAGACCCACCTAAAAATAGTTTGCGTTTATATAATTTATATATAGAATCTTTTCTGGTTCATAAAGCTAGTTTGATGGATTTACTCGGTGTCTTGGAGACACTGCTAGGGAGCATGAAGCGGCATGAGATTTATCAAAATTGTCCGCACCTAGAACATTTCGATGTATCGTCGGGTTCTCTGAACCGTAGTTTTTTTGCATAGTCCACGGTGGAATCTACAGGCGACAAAAGGAGTCACGGTATGTCGGTTTAGCTGGTTCATCCCTTTCCATTCTTATTCGTTAAGCAAATGAATCCTCATAAATTTCCGCGAAGTTTTTCTATCAATTCCTACGGTTCGTCCTTATGGCTTCCATTGCAGGGGGTTCAAAGTAAATTCTCGAACACTAGCGTCCAATCAGCAAGACGTCTTGATATGTAATCCCAACGCTCTTTAGAGGAAGAAGGTTTTGACTTTACTTAATTACTCAGAGTTTTTCAATGTAAAATTTTCCGAATGATACGTATCGCATGCGTTGTCAAGCTGACAGCGGATCTGATCGCGCACGCGGCCCACGCCGTCTTCCTGCATCTCTCAGTGACATGCGCAGTGAAACTTACGCCGACCGCAGAAACCGGTTAACATAGGCAAGAGAAGATCTGGCAAAAGAGAGAGTACTAATCGCCGCTGTCTGGCCTTCCCTTCTAAACTTCATCGCTTCCGTCTTGGTCAGATATATGGTAAATCTCTATCTGTGATTGCCGCATGAAGCCGGGCTAGAGTTTACTGCACTTAGAACTTTCTGGATCAGTATATTACCAAGTCGTCTGCTTACAAGATGATTTCTGGTGAGTTTTTCGGCTGTCTTACCTGATCAGGGAGGCCCGTCGGCAACACAAGGGCTTAGGTCATTTACCCTGAGTTAGGCCAATTGCCTGCATAAAAGGCGGAAGTTTGGCTACTTCGTCGTCGATGGCTATCTCGTCCTTTTGTAAAATCACACCCAAAATGAATAGATATATACCAACTTCGGCCAGCGCGAACACAGCTTTGTTCGTGGAAGCCGAGTCAAAGGCTACCTTGAAGTCAACAAACACCGTCTACAGTGGATCGCGTGGCATAGCGAGCGTTCTCTCCACCTTGGCCATCAGGATCCTGTACACCGTTTCTGTGGACCGTTCTCTCCGGAACTTGTGTTACCCGTCGGGATGGCATGTACGCTTTTTAAGTAGTTGTTCAGTTTTTCAGTCAGCCGCTCAAAAGTTGCTGCTTATAGCAAACGCTTTTCTTCATTGTTACCCGCCATAGTGATGGCGCGGTAGAGTCGCCTTTTCCTTTGCCTTCCCGCATTTCTTCGTTGAGCTGAAAGTATACCAGTATGCAAACTTTTCCTTTTAAGTAGTGCTGTCCAACTCGGAGCCAGAGTGGCACTGCATTTTGCATAACCGTGGCAGCTTTCTTATTGCGTAGGCTCCCAAAGTCGTACCTTAATTCCCGTACTGTCAAGTCCTGTTAAAAGGTATCGCGTTGTATGGGGATCTCCACTTCCAAAGCTCCGGCGAAAAGGGACATCGCGCTTGATATCATATCCTTTGACGTACACAGCGAAGTAATTTATGAGCCGCAGGGATCTAATCGAGCAAGACGCCGAATGGAGTGCTGTGTTAACCATCTGTAGAACTAACGTTCCGCGCCGACCATCGGACGGACCTTCAGTCGCTCAAGGCCTTTCGGGCAAGGCTGTTAATATAGTTGAATGATGACCTATGCTTCCGAGAGGACGGAATGGCTGTACTCTAGATTAGAGAGTTTCAACCAGATGCTGCACACCTAGTTTCTTAGGTTTATAGGTTTCGGCATTAAACACAACAGGAACAGGGAGAATTTCGTGGGTGCATCTTGAAAGCAAGTCTACATTTAGGTGCCGCGACAGAGCTTTACGTTTGACACTCCATGCAGCTGTCAGTTGAACAGTGAGGTTTATCGCCGTTGGTATGCAAGTACGAATGCTTGCGTCCTCTGACAGGGAATGATTTTTATCGTGGAACTTCATCCCTAATTACGTTGGTATGTATTGAGGTGTATTGTTTGTATTCAAAAACATATAGCGATAACCGAACGTCCTGCATGACCTAAGAAAGTTGATGTTGAAGTGGGATTCGGTTCGGCTGATCGGAACGAGCGTCGAGGCTGCCTGCGCGACCAGAGGAAAAGTAGTCCATTGAAAAGTTTCTCCACCAAGGTGTACGCTGATGCCAAATCGGTCAACCGAACATTGGCGACTACGAGGCTTGGTCGCTAGCCACACAGAGCAATGACACGAAGGTGTTCTCCGCTAAGTAACCTGTCTGTCTAATGATTTTCTTATAATGTAGAAAATGAAGATATCCACACTAAAGCGGCTACCATTGGTTCTCGGTGCAGGCCAGTGCACTGAATAGAAATGCTTAAGTTAAATAGGGTAGTTCTGCAAATCTGTCAGCACGAGGTTGTCTATACTAGCCAGGGCGTCTGGGAAAAGGAGCGCCAGGGCTAGCTTCCTCTCAATTATACCATGTAATTTTTCGCCTTTTCTTAAGGTCCAGCCACGCTGCGAACTACATGATTGACATCAAGAGCAGGTGCGGTGTCGCATACAAAGGCCGGCTTGTCAGTGTTCATATTGTCAGAGCTTTTTTCACGAAACTGTCAACTGTTGAGGTGGCCGAGGTTTCCCTGTTCGGCTCTATGTCGCCTTCCCCTTTGTCTGACGGTGACTCGTTCTTTCAAACCGAATTCCCTCAGCCAGACTCCTAGTCGGCTGGGTTTGCTGTTTAGGCCGCCTTGTGTTGTTAATATCAATGAGCGTTAGGTGAACACCTTCCTGTCCCACTTGTATGTTAGAAAGCTCTATCTTTTTTGCGATGTTGTAAATAAGCTTCCCGGCCATTTTACCTCCACAACTGTATTATTCAACGCAACGTGATACCACATCGGAAAAGTCATTTGCTATTTGGCGACTCAACTAACACCCATCTATGGCGGCTCGTTGTAGAATTGTTATCGGTTAAAATAGCCGTAACGGCTTGCAATCAATAGCCGCTTGAGTTAAACAAACGGGTGGTTTATGGTCACCACAAGCAATTAAAAATGTTAACTGGATTAAATCACCTTGCCAAACTATTAGCTAGGTGCCCTGAGAGAAAACAGTAACGCTGTTATCGAAAAAGCAACCGGATTTGCAGCAAAACAGATTGACCGGGAAATATGGCACCTATAGGCGGTGACTGCAGGCGCGATACCTTCAAGTCATTGGCGAAATGCTACGAACGTGAGATAAGGTTTGTGGATTGCACTTGGTTGAATGCCGATACAAAAATGTTTGCCTTTAGTAAAATCCTTGAAATGAAAAGAGTCATAATTCAATACATTCGTGTAACGGCTAAATATATCTCTGCTGTGCGGAACAGCAACTGAAAAAAGACATACGTTATAAAATAGAACTGGAAAAAGTGATGTATTTTTAACCAGCCTTAATAAAATATTTATTGAACATTGTTTATAGGAGTTTTACCGAATCTTAAAGCCACAGTAAGGAGGAGGAGGACACAATGTGTTATTGGGCAACACATTGTGTCCTCCTCCTCGACAGACTGGTACATACAACCGCCTAATAAGAAGTAGCATTTACCCATGGAAAAAGGCGTATGCTCTTTCTTTTCTTTAGCTCTTTCATGTGATATGTGCCATCACCATGCTTCGGACCAGCGACGCTAAAGGTTTCGGCGCTCAAGTCACCCCACCGCCAAGAATAAACGAAGCATATAGTATTTTGTTGAGTTAAATCGTGAATATAAATTCAACCTACAACTCTATGCACACTAGCAGATTATTATTCGTTGTCGATATCTGGAAAAAACATCTATAATGAATCGCCCGGAAGCAATCCAGAACCAAGACAGGGTACATGGAAGATATCACTCTATCATTGTTACTAGTATTCTACCATGTTGTAAGATTGAGCATAGGAAAGTGATTTCCTTTTACCCTAATGAGGTCTCAATTAATTATTTAGTTGTTTCTGTTTACGAGAAGTCTGCCAAATGAAAAACGAGTTGGCGCCGTCATCGTATAGTGCATTTTTCCTTTACATGCATAATCTTCAAATGTACAATGTGCGACTTGACGAAACGCCTACGGCCTTCATAATTGATCTTCAAATGATCATCGCCACCTCTGCCAGCACCAGTATGTAGGCTGGCACGCTGTTACGTCAATGCTGTCGAAGGCCACGAAACTTCTAATTATACATTAGCGTTATCCATGAAGGAGGATCGTAAAGTGGCCGCGATTCAAAAGCGATCTAATGCAAAGATATCTACACTGAAAATCATCTGGTAAATAATTTTCTCAGATACTTTTATCAATCCTAGCCACAGGCGCGTGACGCGAACGCGGCTATCAATTCTAAAAGATACGCTCTCGTTCCTCAAGGTTTCCTTAAGCGAAAGAAGTCTTTGCAGTACAAATCACTTTCATTTAGCGCCGCTTAGCAAGGAAATTTCGGATATATTTACTAGGAAAATTAAATTAAATGAAGAGACAGGTTTTAGTTACGTACTGGCAACATAGCCTCCATAAGCTCTAGAGAGCCAATTTCTAAATGGTTCATTGTTACTTCGAAGGTAGGCTTGTTTGCTTACTTGGATAGTTTCCTCTAAATCGTCAAAGAATTTCCCGCTTCTGTTAAGGTTTAATTTCAAGCAAAGAGGCGTTTCGCCTTTGAAACGCTTGTACAGACAAATCTATTTCAACCTAATGCGAAATATCGCTAAGCCTTTGGGAACTGATGGCCTGCTTGGATTTTCGAACTCAGGAGGGTTTGGGAAGAATGACAGTAGGTATTAAATCTCACGAGGACAAGGAAAATATTCGTCCTGGACTAGCTTAAAACAGAGCAGGACTGTGTGGACACCTTAATTAGAAAGCTGTGTATGTATGAATATAACAATGAGCGTCCAAATGTGTTCTAGCTAAAAAGATGTCCATCACTATATGATTTGTGTAGCTATTCAAAGGAGAAGACTCGGCTACATAAAGTTATATCGTTGCATAGGTGAACAATTGAAAAGATATGTTGGGATAGGACAGTGTAGTACTCCAACTTTTAATGAGTGCTATGGTACCTCAGTATTGCTGGCTCTAGTGTAATAAGGCGCTGAGGAAGCATAGGGTTTGTACGATAGACGATTTTATTTATAGATGAGATACCACTTGCCTTTCTCAGTAGCTTAAATGTGGGAAAGGAAAAGCAGTTACGACTTGATTGTTCATGTTATGTATAATACATTACCATCTTAATCCGTCGTCTTAAACCGTGTCCTCAACTGAATTTGAGCTTCGTCGGAAGTAGGCCCGCTCAGTGCCTTGTCCGAAGTCAGAGACGCTCATACACTGCCAAGTTTACGACACAGGAATAAAGAGGTTTCTTGTGAAGACGCTTAACTTCAATCTATAGAGCGCTGTCGTGCATAGCTGCAAGTGTTCGTGTTGGGTTACAGGAAAGGAAATAGAAAATATAGACATAATACTAATACGATCGATAAGCAAAATCGTCAGCCGTATTTAGAAATGAGAAAATGATTAAATAGCGAATCCGTTTTGCTATACGTTGCTCATATCGTATAGGTGTTTTTGTATAAATATAAGTCAGCTTCCTCGAGCTATACAAACATCGCCTTAGATATTCTGCAAGCGAGCAAATGGGCTCTTAAGTACGTCCCAGATACGATCAGCTAATGTGTGTTATTTATTGTGACACTCCATTACAGGCTATTATACCCATGTTACAACGTTAGCAGAAGTCAGGGAACAAGTTCTTGTAAGTATCTCGGTCTAGGTAACATAAATCTTGGCACAGAATAACGATAACGGGCTTACCATAATCGGGACAAGTTACATTAGAAAAAAGTACTCTGGACTCGTGAGATTATTTAAGAAATTTGCTGCAAAAGAGTACTTCCTCTCCTAATCGCACCATCTTTCTGTGCGTTCAATTTGTACCGATAAAAATAACCGAAGTAACCGATGTTATCTACCCTTTAGTTCGATTCGGGCTTCTACCTAGTAATGATGTTGTTTCGATCTGAGTTCTTCATTTCCGTTCATCTATTGATACAGCAGCAGTGATTAATGCGCTACTTACATTGGCAATATGTTGATAATTTGAAATATCTTTTCAGAAGTACATACCCGTCATGAGTAGGCCTATAGTTTTAGCAAGAAAGCATCCCGTCATCTGGACCGCGGCCTATCCAACGGTCACCGTAAGTTATTCGTTGATAGTTGAATCTGCATCTAACTTTTACCAAAAAATGCTTTTAGGATGCAGCTTCGAGACTCGAACTTAAACAGTTATTAGTTGGTAAACATCTCTAAAGTGTAAACCCGCGGGTTTATATCACATGGTTACTTGCACTGCGCCTAGAATATGATACGGATCCTATTTTCTAATTATTTTTAGGCAATGATGCGCTTCATGTAGAAATAATGCTTAATAATAAATAAATTAAAACGTTCGGAGAAATTACAGGCTTGTTGTGAATGATCGTTCTTATTATAACGGTAACTCCAGATAGCTATATCTCAATGCCTAGGATTTTGGGTGCGCTACTACCTTAGTTAAGCGCCTTCTCAGACGGCTGGCGCCCCTTCTAGCACAAGTCAAAGTGGGTTCACGCCCGATATTGAACCCAGATCACCTCATGAAACAAAGTTTAGGTAGGCAAATACGTTACCGTTACTACGCCATTTTATTGGAACCAGTTCGTAGCATAATTAGTTACTGCTCGTCAATTCGCATATTTGTCCATGTATAGGAAATATTACTAACCGATAACTTGTGGGAGGAGCGCGAAAGGGCGAGGTTCAAGGCTGAGGGATTGAGGAACCTCCGCAGGCGGATGCAGAGGGACAGCCACGTTAGAGACCAAGTAAGTAACAAGTAAATCGAGAGTTTTAAAGCAAAAAAGCTCTTATAATAAAGTATCGGTAACTAAAGCCACTCGCAGATAGGAGCCTCTCATGGAACGCCTTACATAAAACGTCTCAAGGATTAATTTTTATCCTATGATACGACTCCTGAGCATCCCGTTTTGTTTTCATAGTTTTAGGTTGTCATAAGGTGGTAGTTGAACTTTTTGGAATTGTAAGTGATACAAAAATCGGTGCATTATCACTGTCTATATTTCGCATATGTCGTTTTTTTGAGTAACTGCTATGGGCTTCCAACAAAATCTGGATTATTTGTGTGTAATTTTTTCCGAACGAGTGCGTTCGATGTAGAAGGACATATTGGAACGATCATAATTTTAATGGTTGTGTGGATTGTATTGTTGCAGAACAACACCGAATATTACTACGATACTGATGATTACGAAGATGAAGATGTAAGTAGCTAATATTTGACAGATATTTACAACTATTTCTGCTGTACGTTATTTAATAATTTTAAGTAGTACGTTTTTCCAAAACTCTCCGGCACTTTAAAAACACATTTTTAGAAAACTCTGCTACATATGGGAAAGCTAATGAACAAGCTATAAAAGATTCGAGGTTTACATCGCTTCAGGCAGTTTGCCCTAAAACGAAATGAACTACGCCTACGGACGCTTTAGGACACAGACTATATTTGTTGTAGTAGACAAACGCGTTGCTATCGCACCGGCAGGATGATTACGTAAGATTTTTTTGCTTCGTAAGCAGAGCATGCACACTGCAGTCATATACTGTTCGATTTCTAGAGAGCTTGGACGTACATTCCCTTGAGTACGCGGTAACCAGTATCATAGCAGAGTGCAGATAGACAAATCGCGCCAACATTCCATCTGAAAGCTACCTGATTGGTCGTTTCCTGTCTACGTCTTTGTTCGTGCCTGTATGTGCGTGCATCTTTCTTGGGGGCGTGCAAAAATGCTTCTTCCATGAGACGTCGAAACATCTTAATAGAGATATGGCGTGTTCAGTTAGTTTGCTATGCATATTTTACTGCGTCAGGAGCGTTATCCTGTTCGGGATTGCGAAGCCAAATTCATATAGTCCATAAAACGGTAAGGATCGAATAAGCACAGCTGAGACGGATTACAGCCTGTTGCCTCCCATGGAATTCATAACGACGATAGCATGATATCTAACAATGCGCGTAACAATGTTATTGATCACGATTGGAACCTACACGGGACGAAGTGCCGACGGCGAACTATTTGATGACACATAGCTCCTCACTTTATAAAAATATAAAAAAAAAAAAGCATAAATATATATATAATATGTATTTATGCTTTATATATAATATATATATATATATATGCGTGTGCATAAATATATATTTTATGCACCTTACGTGCAAGTTATATTATTGTGTGACCTATTGTGTTGACATCAAAGCCTAGTCATCTGCCTATATCCATCGTCGGGGTAGTTTAAAAAAGTGCCCTAACAAGGAAAATGGTTTCGCTCCATTAGGGAAAACGTTTACGATAGGTAAATGACAGTAGAGTCTGTATACAACACATGCATATTTTTCGCACCTGTAGGTATATCACAGCATTATTACTATTATTGTTCCGGGATTCGAATTTTTTTGAAGATAAAAAAATTATCGTTGTACAATAATACGCTTGCAGATCGCTTGCACTATAGCCGTATTCATTCTCTGATAGAAACTGTATTTTCAGCACTGAAGATTTTTTCAGTCGCTTCCTATTTTTCTAACACTTTCGTATTACCGCCGTTACAGGAGGATTACGACAATAAAACACAACCGTTAAAGTCGGCAGAACGTTCACAACGTCGACGGAAACGCAGTCCCGAAGAGGGTCCTTCCGGTGCTGGAGGCGGCGCTAAATCTCTCCGAGCAAATGCGCCTATCCGCGGGGATGTTAGCTATATCTCACTCTCGGACCAACTGGCGCTTCGACCGGAGAACAGGGACTACCCCGAAACGAAGAAACGGAAGCCCCTTATGCTCACCACCGTAGCCATACCCGTCTTCAACATCTCGAAGGGCGAAAATGATACGGTGAGGGCAATGACAAAAGATATTTACCGATTATGAACATGATACATCTTATATGGGGTGGAAGCAGAAGTAAAACGAGGGAACAAAAACACATCAACATAAAACATTGTGGAATTTAAGCTTTATCTGCTAATTTTACATTTTTAAAAACAAGCGACTTCCAATACAGCATCGCTGACTTATACTTTGACAATGTCTTGCGATATAAAGTACTTACTGTAGTTTGTGCATAGAGCGTTCTCAAACGTATGTTTTGAGGGTACCTAGCTCTAGTTTCTAGTACAATATCCATTGGTAATTGCTGAATATAGGTAAACGTGTTGAAAGGCGTGTTGGTTTACATTATCTTACCTTTGCTCTCACACAAAAACAAAAAACCGTCTTCATGATTTGTTACTGGACATTATGTTGTCATTGCAGAATGCTACATCACACCTCCTCGGAGTCGTCGGAGTGGACGTGCCTGTGCGCGAGTTGGAGCGGCTAGCGAGCCCCTTCCAGCTGGGCGTCAATGCGTATCCACTCATTCTGAATAAAAATGGACACCTCATCTCACATCCTGACCTCAGACCGATGGTTGGCAGCCTCCGTCATTACTTTCATCGTATATATGAATTTTTTATGACATCAGGACTTATCGCCGTGTATCGTTGTTTTACTATAATTATAGTGTCATTTTTATGATCGTTGAGCGCTCCCGTATTTCTAATTGAGTTGTACTTTGACATGATGAGTGAAACAAATTGAGCAGATGCTTGTTGAGATAAAATTATATTAGGTTGTACTACTGAGATTTGGGAAATAGAAATTCAGCAATAACTTATTATAACGTAGCTGACAACACTCCGTTGTGTTCGTAAATAAACAGTTCCAGGATTTTGTAAAGCCTTTCCATAGCAACGTGGATCTGCTCGAAGTAGAACTCCTGGATAGTCAGCTGAGTGCTCGGGACTTTTCGCAGACCTTCAAGGATCTGCGTAAAAATATGATTGATGGGCGACGGGGCTGGACTGAGCCCCATAATGTGCGCGTCCACATGGATGGAATGGTATGTCGATTGAATATCACCTTATATCTTACACAAATTTGTCCAGCCAGCACCTTAATATCTTTCAATACGTAATAACATGTATTTAATGTATCTAAATATGTCTGCCTTGATATATTCACCCTCACATGATGTCTTGCGAATATGAACGGAGACTTGCTCTCTAAACCTGAATTTGCTTAATTTATAGTATGTTATGTATCTCACTAACTTGTTTTATTCCTCATCAACTCTGTCGCGTTATTGCGGTCGGTGTTTTGCTGTTGCTGTTGTTGTGTCCCACGCCATTTAATCTGTCCGTACCTGCTTCTTGCTCATGAATGTCGCAACGCTTGCGCGTCACCGCTACCCTTACGTTCTGATTACGATCATCTTGTCGGTGGCTTCTGCACCTTTCATTTTCTGTGTATTTATTGATTTTACGTTTCACAGAAGCGAGTGGCCGTGCGCAAACAGCGTTACTACTACGGGCCCGTTGGAAACTCGGTGTTCGCGCTGGCCATCGCTCTTCCACAGCCTTATGGCTCCTATGGAGTGGAAGCACAGTTCGAACTCAGCAACCCCGCCAATCTAAAAATCGATGGTGAGTATGCTTCAACCTAAAGTTAGTTTTCCGATCGGTCGGTCGTTTCAATTACTTCTCTCTTTCAAATGCTTTTACTACATCTTGATTACTCGCTCACATTTATAGTGACATCGGCTTCGGCACTCGGAGGGGTACGGACGGCAAAACAGTATAACACCTCGACAAAGAGCCACGTGACATCAGTATGTAGTGGTCAAGCCGCTCCACCCAAGCAAAGATACCTCGTCAGTTCACTGAATTCATTCATTAGCACCATTTTTATTGGCCCGGAGGAGCTCCTATTTCCATAGGTTACCGACCCATCGGATTGGGTGTGGTTTCGGTGTATCATGCACTATTACAAGAACACGAGACGACCAGGACAAGGAAATGTTTGGCCTACCTCACTTGGCGCGTTCTTATCAAGCAAATATTGTATTGTCTACATTCAGTTGGGGGAACGGTGTGTGTGTGTGGGAGGCTGTCTGACCATTTCCTCATTGACTCACGTATTTTCGCGTACTACTCTTAGTAGATAATTGTTTCTGCATAAAACAGGTTGCACTAGGAGGTATACCACCAAGGTGTTGAGGGTCTGCTAGTAGAAAGCGCTATTCCTTGCTATGGTAAAGGCGAAATCGATCGGCTGCAGCAGAACTGATATAGCTAAGCGATGAAATAACGGAATACTAGAAAGATATTTTAGAACATGAAAGGCATCCGAGAGTTACACCAGCAGCATCGGATATCGGGGAGTTGCGCACTCCGATTAGATCTAATGGTAGCAAAGCTCTGGTTGAAACGTATATTAGCCTAGGCTACCGCTGGAACAGCTGACTAAAAACTTCGGTACGGGTTTGAAAAAATAACTGGTTGAAAACCCAGTACTGATTATGTAAGTGTCTTACTGTTACAACAAAAGCCAGACATTTGTGCGCTAAATACTGTATCATTTTCTCAAACGTGTTTTGTACGAACGCCTCACCAAAGCAGGTCATCGTTTTGCTGGCATTACTGGCTCCTTTTTCTGTGTAAACCACCACCTCGTAGTGCTACCTGCTGCATCCGTTGTTTCCTAAAGTCAATACCACTTTTTAGGACGATCAATAGCAATTCAACCTGAAGGTAATAGGATGCAAATAAATTGTACTGGTAGAGCCCAAGGCCGCTAATGTCGGCCAGTGCTGTTCCAAGTAAGGATCGTACCGGCTGTACTATACTTGCATTGATAGTTGCTAGAAAACTAGGCCAGTCTATTCGAATGACCAGGCGGGTGAAAGACGTAAACAGGCTGAGTTAGTGAAATCTTTAAACGAGATCGAATTCGTTAAGGCCATGCGCGTTCGATACGATAGTCGGATCGGCCAATCTGATCTGTGGCTTTGCATCTAGTTATTCTTAATCTAGTTTTCGTAGCTGACAAATTAAAAGACGTTTGTTATACCGATGTCCATAATATTGACTGATCAGCCATCAGTTCGGGAGCCCCACGTGGTGTGTAACTCCTAGGCTACACACTCCTTAATACTCCATTAGTTTGGAGGAGCAAGCTTTACATTCGATGTGTATTATTTTTTAACATACACGCACAAATCAAGCGTACAAAACAGCTACCATTTTTTAAGGATACAACGGGGTCGAGTTTTAAAACAAACTTAAATATTTAACTCGGTAATAGAAGCATTAAAAACAACAAAAATCCATTAAAGTTGAAATTCTTTCGCTAAGAATGTAACGAACGCATAAGAGATCTAATAATCAAATGTATAATGTTTCAGTATATAAGCAATTTTTCGAGGGAACGGACTGGCACGTGCATCCGAATTGGACGTATTGCGAGGACGACAATGCCGAGCGGGGCTGGCATAACATCGAAAAAAGGGGTATTGACAGAGTTCAGCGAAACGCCATTGCATCTTTACTGAAGGCGTGGCGTACTGAGCGAAACCCCAAGTTCAGTCCTGAGCCCAATCGGCCCAACAAGATGCACCAGTTTAAAACCTGGACGTGTAAGTAACCACTCACTCATGAAAATGTTCGCCATGAAAATCTGTCTAAACGACAGTTCGACTTTTACTGGTTCAAGTGACAAAGAAAAAAATTGGACGAGAAACGGTGTTAGGCCCTGTTTAATTGGGCGCTAGCAATGATATTACTGGGCAATGCGAATTGTTTATTTTATCTTAATAGGAAAAAATTACACATGTGGTGAATATAGCACCAACGCTATGCTAAAACGAGCACATAAGGACAAGATGCATTCAAGACCCAGCCAATATTTCGACTTTATACCCAACCTTTGAGAGTTTAGTTGACCTCTTTACACTGGGTTGAAACGCCTTCTGTGTTCTATAACGCAACCTATACTTGTAGGCGACCTCGACTTATTACAAAGTTTGATCCATGATGCGACCCGGACGGCGCCGCACATTCTGGAGCAGGTCAAGAGTCAACACCCCCCCGCGAGTACTAAAAGTCGCGCGAGGTAAGTTCTCGCTACCTGTTCGAGCCGTCACGCACCATTGTCATGAGTGACTGGTTACCAAAACACTCGATCATTCACGAAACCACTCATCATTTGGCAACACCGGATCCGCATTGTAGCAATCTTCCGTACATATCGTTTCGTATAATGTTGTGCCGTTTCTGGAGATAGTGATCATAATATAAGTAACAATTTATAATAGTAGTACTGATCATGAATGAAAGAAGGGAACATTATTCGAGCAGTTATCAAAGTTTTGCAGGCAATTTGGCTTTACGCATACGATCCTCCATATTCTCGTTCTTACATATCATTACATAGTACTATGCTAAAATCTGCATCGTGTCACAGGCTAGGTGTTGTTAAGCGCGTTGCTAATTTGTGGCGACCGGTGCACGCCAATGCTTTAACCGCCGGCTGTGAGGGAATAATCTATCAGGCGAATTTCCTGCAACCTAATGTTATATATCTCATATATATAATAAATATATGAGATAAAACTGTGTTACTTACAATATTGCTCTTGTAAATATGTGTAGCATTTTCCTTATAGGTTTTCTCTCTAATTCTTCACAACCATCGGAAAAAACAAGCCTTACAGCGTTCTCGAGTTAAAAATATATTTCTATGGAATTCAATAGAGGAATTTATTCTATCGACTGGAGCCCTCTACAGCCGGCCGGTAGATGGTAGAGAGCGTCATCGTAGCTAATAAGGTAGCTTTCGTAGATCCCCTCTCATTGTTGCGGATCACAGTGAAGTGATCATTCGCCGAAAAATTTGCTCGACCGGCTGAGGTATAAGTACGCCGACACGATAGCTCTCGTGATGATGGCACTTCAAATGCAATTGTCTCTCATACATCTAGAACTTCGACATACTGAAGGAGGTCTGATGAGAGAAATGGGATATGGGGTGCGGTTGCTGGACGTAACGGAGGCAATTGTCGAGTGGTGCATTTAGGGAGCAACATGGCGACAAGTGGCAACAAACTGCATAGAAACATCAAGCAAACATCGTAAGGCGATCACGGGAGCTGCCATATATTTTCGCGGATTTGGCTGAGCGTCAGCTACCTGAATCAAACCGCTGGTGTAGTAGTGGTATGGCAGAAACGCTTGCCTTGTACATTTGCTGAATCAGTTGCCTACGAATTATCTGTCTGCCAGATCGGCAAACGAACAGCTGAGTTCAGCTCATGATAGAATTTCTCTCAATTTTTGAACGGGGAACTTGAGAGAATCAGAGCAGTGGAGCTTCGGTCAGTATGAACAATTAACGGATAGGGAAAATGACAAAACGGGAAAGGGAAAATATCACAAAAAAGTCTTTAGCTATCCCTTAGTAACCAGTGTACCCTCAATTGTTGCCCCTTTTCGCTGCCGCCGCCGCCGCCGCCGCCGCCGTCTGCTGCGCTATGTTGACGATGATGTCGACGACGACGACGACGACGATGCTGACGACATTACGTTGTTGCTTTCGTTGTTGTCGTCTGCTGCTCTCTGTTTCGGCACCTCGGCGTCTCTTTTCTGTGCTTTCTTTCTTTTTTCCGCATCCATCGGGGACTTCTTCTACTCACTAACCCATTTTATCCATTGTGTGATTGTTCTGACTGCTCATACTGTTGTTGTTGCTGTTGTTGTTGTTGTTGTTGCTGTTGTTGTTTTTGTTTTTACTAATCGACATTTACGACGATTAACGCATACTTTTGACAATACCTATCTGTTGATATATAATGAATAAAATCGGTATCGATCTCTGTATGAAATCAATAAATGCATAAATCTACCTACGTTTTGTGTCCGATGATGATGATAATTCTACACATACTCATGGCATTACGATTCGTTATTATTACTATGACTAACACGAAACATGACAAAAAATCTATGCATTTTTCAAAAATATTTAATAACGGTAATGAAAATAAACTATGGAAACAAATGTTCTTAACGAAAAACAAAAGTGGCATGTACAATCCGCTTCACACTTTACTCCAGCTGCTTCCCAGGTAACAATATGATATAGAAATTTATACACGCGCATCTATGTTTTATTATTACTATATTGTGAAATTTAATATAGACGAAGGGTACCTTATTATTTCTACGTGGACGCCTACCACTGATCTCCTCTGCCTATAGCTTAATCATTGTTCCTGCCCGACGTGAATCATCATAAAAGCCAAACTGCTGCTTGTCCATTCCTTTTCGTGGTCGTTCTAATTCAAAAGCCAACATAGCGTAGACTGTACATACTGTATAGGTCAGTTTGCGATTAAAAGTAGTGGCGGGTCTGCACGACGCCGTTCGTTGAGAACCCG